GCTTTCATGCTAAACTGATAGACATTTTTCTAAGACTGTTGTTATACTACTACAGGTATCCTTTACCTGAAATTCCAAAATCCAAAAGCCTCCAAATTCTGAAAATTTTTTGACATGACTTGCCACAAATGGAAATTTTCAGAAAGCACTGAAAATGTTCTTAGGTGATGTGCAGCTGTCATCTGCCCTGGTTAGGGGTTCCCCAGAGTGGCTACATAGCCACCAGTTTTTTTGTTAGCAATCATCACAGCAACACTTTTGTTTGTGGATTACTTACCAGGTGATAATATTACTATTATTACTTATAAGGTGTTTAGTCAAGATATTATTGAAAATGTCAAAAACTCCTGCATTTATACATATCTTATAAGTAGTGATAATGTTTTTTGTACAAGTATAGTGTTATGGTAATTTACCCATGCACGCATGGACTCTCCTAGCTATAAATAGGAGCAGGTTCTACCTTTTGGAGAGGGAAGTTTCCAGCAGTCTGCTCTGACAGTCAGACCGAACATTCTTGCTGTAACACTTTTGTTTGTATTACTGTTTTTGTTAATATATTTGTTTAACTCAATTCCTCTCTTTGTGTCTTTATTTCTGGCCCTAACAAGGCACAACATATAGAAAGTACAAAATATTATTTTTATGTTAAATCTTAATTTCACCACTTAAAAATCTGTGTGAGTATTACAAGACTAGCATCATTCCCTGTATCTGTATGTAAACAAGATTTATTAAATTTTATATAAAACCACCTTCAGGGTATATGCATAAATTGAGTTATGAAATGTAAAGGGATATTATGTTTATGCTTGGGTTTCATTCCCAAGCTGCCCCATTTTATAGATGCTATAGACAAATTAAATAGCTTCTATTCCAAAATCTGAAAAAAATCTAAAAACCAAAGCACTTCCAGTTCCAAGAATTTGGGATAAAGGATTCTGAACCTGTATTTACATTATTTACTATTGTACTCATTGTTTTTATTATCACAATGTTTTGGTGATTGGGCCCTTTGACCATCATCAGGCATTTTTTGATTCAGGTTCAGGGAATATTGAACAAAACCCTTTATTTAATCTATGGAGCCAGATTATTCCCATTCTTCCAATCATGCCTAGGTGTATCTTGTCTAGTTCTTATTTAGTATTGGTTTGTTACTGCTCATCTGGTTTAAAAATATTTGTGAAACAACAGTCAAAATAGTTCTTTCATCTCAACCTGTACAATAAATAATAATAAATAGATAGTATAATCTAATTTGCAAATACAGTCAGTACATCATGGCCATTTTCATAAATTATGCTATTAAGGGTTGCTTTCTTGTTTTGTTTTGTTTTGTTTTTTATAAGAGATCCCAATGCTTTTAAGTACTTTTTGCAGTTGGCAGTATTTATCACATTCATGTTGCAAATACAACTATCCAGAAATAATTACCTAAAAATAAATGAGTTCTGATTAACTTCAAATGACCATAACTTGATAAATACTTGATTATTATGTGCATTTACACACTATTTATTAGAGTAGTATAATAAAAATTCTTGAAAATAGCTGATATTCTGTTTTGTCCAAGAACTTTTAATGATCTTAAATATCAACAAGAACTGGGTGTTGTTAGTATGGTAGACAAGATTTTGTTGAATATATATAAACAGGGCATAGTGGCTGATAGTTTTATGCCTTCAACGATCATAGACAGATGATCTCATAAGGCATGAAATTCATAGTAACCATATGGAATTGAGTTTGATATCCACATTGTTTATATCTATGTGGTATGGATTATTTCCCCTTATACGTATGCTGTATTTAAATAAGTCCAATAAAATATGTTCCATTCTAAGTTGAATAAAGCTTTAGTTAACTTACATCAGCATTTGTTTTTTCACTACAATCTACAAATTCTTTATTCCTGATATTAATCACTCTTCCTCCATGAAGGTAGAAAATTTTAAACAAAATAGGTATATTGATTGATAAATAGATGAATAGATAGATAGATAGGTAGGTAGATAAACAGAAGAGAATAATAATTTTTCAACAAAACAAAAAAAAACATGGATATATAAGTGATTAGTGCAAATTAAAAAAAATCATCATGGCTGCCAATTATCATGAAAACACATGAAAAGATTATCACCCTTGAATGTTTTTATTAATTTCTCATTTGGACAAAAGTTATTAGTAACTAAAATAAATTAGAAACATTATTTTTATTCTGCTTGTTCCCATAGAATTTTTATTTTTATTGGATACTTAAAGAAAATTTAAAATAGTCAAAACAAAAATACACCCAGAAACTATGAAACTCTGGAGTTGGAATGCTGAAGCTAATACCAATCAGTTAAGTGACAAACTTTACATTTGTATTACTTCTTTTGTTTATATATATATATATATATATATATATATATATATATATATATATATATATGAAGAAATATAGTCTTAAGTTGTGCTATATTTATGGGATAAAGTGCTCAATATCAGAGATAGAGCATATGTAAATATAATCAACACTTAGAGGTGACAGTCAATGCTAGATGCAATTGTCAGGCCAATCAGGTGGCCTGATGATTGCATCTAGCATGAAACAGACTATCACCTCTAAGTGTTGGACTTCTATGTTTACTTTTTTATATATATATATATATATATATATATATAGATGTATTAATAGATCAGAAAAGGTCAAAGAACTTATTTTTGAACAACTATAAATCAATCTAACTGAACCCAATTTGTTTTTTATGCAAAAAGTCTTTTGCAAGATATGCCTTTTGAAATTTTGTTAACTATAATCATTCTAATTTTCTTTACATAAATCTGTTCATCTTTAAACACATTAAATTCTAGTAATTTTACATATTTTGTTAGGCATTATTGATTAGTGTTATCAGTATTATTATTTTCTATATATATTATAAATTAACTGATTTAAAATATAGTTTTTTTCGCTACACAGTTCTAACCATGTTTCAAAAATGGAAGCTAAAAGCTTTGAATTTAATTTTGTAATTAAATTAAAGACATTAGTTCCATTTCATCCTCTCAAATTTTGGAACTCCAAGATTTTTTTCGCTTGAGGATGAAATGGAATTAATGTCTTTAATTTAATTATAAAATTAAATTGGCTTTTAGCTTCCATTTTTGAAACATGGTTAGAACTGTGTAGCGAAAAAACATATTTTAAATCAGTTAATTTATAATATTAATGCTCTGTAAATTTACATTGAAGCACTATTTTGTAAAATAAAAATATCTATAAGAACACCAGATTATATATCTTACTGGTCTTTCTTTTTTATATATATATATATATATATATATATATATATATATATATATATATATATATATATATTTTCAATATATAATGTATAAATTGTCCCCAATAATAAAACTAGCATCCTTCAAAATGTGACATTTTAGGGGATGTAATGCCATTAACTGACAGCTCTAAATTATATTTTCATATCATTTTTTAAATTTCTCTTCAATAAACACCCACTTTTAATATAACATTTTTTATTGCTAAAAGCTGTTCTTAGGATATGTCAGAATTATAATCAAGCTATAAGGTTACATTTTATTTTTTCTCTGGCTTTGGACATGTTTCTTCAAACGATTTTAAATGAATTTCCCAGTTGCACCCAAGTTTCAGAAGTGGGTAGTAAATGTGCTTTTCTATGTTGTCAAAAGTCACTTCATGTTGTAAGGTAATACATTACAGCTACAACTTTTCAAGCAAATACTTTTTTGTTAAATGTATCTTTATATATAAAAAAAAATAATTGCATGTTTGAAGAAATAAACAATGCCTTTCCATACACTCACCAACACACTCACACACACAGAAAAAAAAATAAGATCATTTTTATGACTGTTATAGCTAACATTATATTTATTCCTTAGCAACCCTACATGCAAGCCACCAATCTGCCATTGGGTAGCATGCCACTAGTGTTTACCACTGGTGGCCCAATTTCAGACCGCCAATGTGTTCGTCTCGGTAATGTTATCACTAGTGGACTGCTGGTGGTCCACCAGTGGTCTGCCAGTGGCTGCCACCAGAGAACCGCTAGCGTTGCCGCCAGCGGGCCACTAGCGGTTTGCGTGTAGGGAATTATAGTTGAGTTTTCTCTCACATTTTTCATCTATAACTGGATGAAAGTAAAGTTTCAAGGAAATAAAAGCCCTCCTACATAATAAAAATAATAACACTGAAAAGACTGAAGAGACAATTGTGAATAAATAGCAGTTGATTTGCAATTATTTTTTTTTTTTTTTGATGGGGGACACTGGAAAAATACTGGGGCGCAAAAAAAAAAAGAAGAAAATTCTAAAAAAAAAAAAAAAAAAAAAAGAAAGAAAAGAAAGAAAACTATAAAGAGATTGAGCTTTCCTCCATACCTTTCCTCGATGCCTTCCCTGTAGATACAGAAATAAAAAATAATTGGATTATGCGTGAAGGTAATATACCCACATTGAAACATTATGTACATATAGAATTACAGATAGAGGTAGAGATAGATATACAAATTGATACATAGAAAAAGGAAAAAAAAAAATAAATATATATACAAACATATAGATATGCAAGCGCACATACATATAAAAGATACACAGATTTACATTGACAAACACTCTATATATATATATATATATATATATATATATATATATATATATTATATATTTATACAGGTAGATAGAGAAAATGAGATAAAGTGACACACATTTAACAAAAAAAACATTTATATATACATATAAACTCTCAAAAATATACACACATATATTATCTATGTTGATATATATATATATATATATATATATATATATATATATTGATATCAATTATATATATATATATATATATATATATATATATATATATATAAAATAGCACATAATGAGTGCTGGTGGTACTAAAACAATGTTTGATGTAAAATAACAGAGCTAAAATTTATATTAATAATATATATCCATATACATAGTTAGATAGATAGATAGATAGATAGATAGATAGAAGGTACTTCATGTATTTGAGAACATATGTTTAACAAGCCACAAATGGGTGATGACCTAATGTAATGTTATGTAGCATATGTGAAATGTCTTATTTGGCTGTGTAAAGAACATAAACATGGCATCTTCCACATGAGACAGAAAATGAAAAGGCACAAGCCAAAGAAATTCAAAGATAGTGAACTTCTTGAATATGGCTATGTGAACAGGAGGAACAAATATTGACTCTGTGCAAACCCCAGGTACCTATATTCAGAGTTGTAACCAATGTAAGCTCTACCCTACTTGTATCCCCAACTCAATGCTACTCAAGGTTCTAGACACTGTGGTCAAGCCCTGGATTGATAAGGTAGCTGTACATGATCCAGCAGGATTCAGCTTCCTCTCACATGGGCTGGCTAGGTAACCCAGGAGTTGATCCCAGAGAACTTCCATGATCATTTTTACTTGCAATATGAAGTCTTGCAGCTTTCCTGATTTGCATCCCCTGGACAGTTACACACACATTATATATATATATATATATATATATATATATATATATATATAGGGATAGATTCTCCCATCAAGAGCAACAGATGAGGGTTCAGTAAATTCTAGGTATTTACTGAACAACCTGCATGAGTGAATTGCATCATTTGCTATGCAATGCAAACTCTCTCCATCATAGTACCGTGTTCTGTACTGGCGCACTATGTGTCACACGTCAAATGATGCCAGAGTTGTTTAGCTGGGTTAGTACATTGATGGGTGATTGCTTGGAAATAGCAGGTGCTATAAGCTTGGATGTGTGGGTGATGTGATGGATAATGACTTGAACTCCGAGAGCAGAATTCAAATTTCAGTTAAAATGGTTACATTCACTTACATGCAAATACCCATGGGAAAAGTATGAAACAGTCTCTTCTCTCCCCAACTATGGGTGAAAAGTGGGACATACTGGACCCTATAGACTGGGTTGGCAGCCAGTCTAGGAGAAAGAAAACACAAAAACGTGCATATATATATATATATTATTATTATTCTGTGATTATATCTCTGGATTTCAGTTAGCTGGTTCCTTCTCAAGTGTCAAAAACTGGTGATGTTTATTGCTATCAATTCACTTCAAAGTACAAAACACACACACATGATATATATATATATATATATATATATATATTTATTTTTAAAAAAAAGACCATTTAAGGTACCATTACAATAATTTATTTCACCAAAGTCCTTTAAAAAGGATTTTGGTGAAATAAGACTATTGTAATGGTACCTTAAAGTGGTCTGTTTTTCATTAAATATTAGCTCTGTATTCACATTGAGCTCTCAGGATTTCATCCTCCTTGGAATTACCCATTCGGTTTACCAAGTTCTTCATAAGTTAAATATATATATATATATATATATATATATACACACACACAACAAAGAGTGTGTGTGTGTGTGTGTTATAAGTACATAGAAAGAGACCCATATATATGTGGGTGTGTATGTATTAGTGGGTCTATGTATATTAATGCATATTTTCTAGAGGCCTAGAATAGAGAGAAGGTGACAGTTTAGTATCTTGGAAGATTGATGCTGAGCTGATGAGTCTCATTAAACTCAACTCACCTCAGAAAGCAGAGTAGATGGATTGAAGGTAATCACCAGATGAGAAAAAAAGAGCAAAGTTCTGGTATCATGAAAGAGATAAGGTGCTTCACTGCCTGGTTCTCAGTTGTGCTTCTTAATGCAAAGAGCATAGTTAGCCTCAAACACTGACAAGCCACCATTGGGAGTGCCCTCAGCATTAATAGTTTTTGAAATGCCAATAGATAAGCCCTTTTTCTTACAATTCTTATACTTTGTACATATAACACTTTGTGTGTATAAATAAAAACGTAAGATAAATACAAATGAAAATTTATAACAAAAATATTTAGTGTAATTGTGCAGCAAATGTTCTTTTTAAAATGTTTTAGTGGGGGGCGGTCGTCATTTTATGTCTATTAAGTTTAACCGTCTTATTTCTAAATTGTAAAAGATCATTTCCAATTTAGAAAAAAATAGTTTAACATAATAGACATAAAATGTTTACAGTTTTCAGTAAAACATAAATCTTATATATGATATTAAATATTATATATGATATTAAATATTAGATATGATATTAAATATTAGATATGATATTATAATGTAAATAGTTAGAACAAATAGAGGCAGTCTTTTTTCTTAGCAAACAATAGAAAATGAAGATATCTGTGAAAGAATAGAGTCATTCATACAATTATTTTTAAAATGTGAATAAAAAAGAATATATATATATATATATATATATATATATCAGCGGCAAAATTTTTCAAGATCGGATAGTTAAAATATCTGAATTATTTCCTGACATGAGAGAAGTTTCCATAGTTCTTCATCTAATCTTAGTTGCTTGTTTAAAACCAGTCATCTTTATACAGGGTGTGGCAGAAATACTTCCCACATAATAGTAAGACAGTAAAAGGTATATGTGGGAGATATTTCTGCTGCATGATGTTGAAGCAACAGTTTTAAATGGATTTTTTATTAGTTCTTTTTCTTACACTATTTACATGCAGACTATTGTACTCATCTTTGATGTTGTCATCAAAAACGTTTCAACCATTGTGCCCTCTGGCCTTCATCAGGTGTCTGTTGATCTGGGTAACCTACAGGGAATTTCAAAATGAACTCTTTATTTAATCTAGTCGGGTAGATTGTTCTTGTTCCACTGCCTATGTCTACAGATATCTTGTCTAGTTCTTATTTTTAGTACTGCTCAGTTATTGCTTGCCCTGTTTCCACTGAGTTCATGAACACACTAACCGGCCCAGGGATTGAACCCACATTTACTATATCACCAAATTCATTAATCAACATTTTAATCTGCTAGGCTAGCAACTCAGTGGATTTGGTTTGTTTTTTTTTTTTGTTTTTTGTTTTATGGCATATCAACCTCAATGAGTCATTTAATGCTGACAAATTTTTGTTGCTAGTAATATTTTTTCCTTCAAAAATCTATTTTTGGTAATATTTTTTCTTCAAAAATGTACTGCTGGTAATAATGTATTGCTGGTAATAATTTTTCTTCAGAAAATTATTGCTGGCAATAATTTTTTTTACAAAAAGTATTTCTGGTATTAAAAGCAATTTTTACACTTTCATAGTGTTTTGACCCCAGTTTGGGGGGTTAACTATTTGTCCATAACTGGGACCCTAACAGGTGCTACCACCCTGGGGCAGGATGAACCTGGGAACACCAGCAATTAAGAGGTGGTTCCATGCTCCTCAAAACCTCCTGATCAGAGGCCTTGCTGTTGGACATAGTTTATTGGTTTACCCAAGACACAGATGTAGGTTATTGTCATACCCAGGACAGATCTCCATGGAAACCAGGTGAGGAATAATTAAGCAGTACTAAAATAAGAACTAAATGAAACATCCCTAGACATAAGTGATAGAAGAAGAAAAATCTACCCACCATAGATTAAATAAAGGTTTCTGTTTCAAATTCCCTGTAGGTTACTTTGATCAACATAAAACTGATGATACAAATGCCAAAATGTTGTGATGACAACAACAAAGATGAGGATAATAGTCCATATATAAATAGTGACAATAAGAAATTCAAACAAAAATGTATTTTTCTTATTTGCTAATAATAAACTAATGACTAATAGCCTTCAGTTGCTAGAATTTCTTAAATACATAATTTTTATTGTCATTAATTTTGACTAGCCTTTATTTGTGACTTTTCTGTTACTTCTTTACACCCTAAAATAGAAGAAGACATATTGTTCTTAATAGTCCATGATTGTAAAACACTTCAGTCTAGTTTTAGGTCCTCATCGGGATATATACAATCTGTTCTTTAAAATAGTTAAATATTTATAAGACAGAAAAGATCAAATCATTCTTCCTGCAGAAGGAATAAAGCCAAGATCTTAGATTCTTAAATTCTGTCTTTGAATTGGAAAAAAAAATAATATTGAAAATACGTAAATAAGTAAATTTAAAAAAAAAATAACAAAATTCAATTATTTACAATTCCATTGTTTAAAATTTTCAATGTGTATTCCCTATTGAATATATGTTTAATTTAAAATGTCCTTATTTTAAAAATAAAAGTATTTGCAGGAATTTTTCAATTCTTTCTCAAACACCTTAGAGAGAAAGCTAAAATAAGCATTTATATTTAGATAGGCATGAAGATGGGCTGATGGAGAAACAGAGAATGATAGAAGAAATGAGAAGAACATGCAGGTAAGTATATATTGATATATTAAGGTACAAGTATTTATTGGGAATAGACAAAGGCATAAACATAAAATGTGAAATAAACAAAAAAAAAACAACATGGGCTGAAGTATAAACCTTCTGAGGGTGTTTTTGGGTGTGTGTTTCTTCTCATTAGATACCCCAATCATAGCCTTCAAAGGCATTTCTTTGAGTTATGGGATTTCTTTTGCACTAACCAGCTCCACCCCAATGAACAAACACAATTTGCAACCAGGTTTCAGAGTACCAGCAGCAAAGAGTAATCCATATTTTAAATTACTGGGAAACTTGGATTCATGCCTTTCACAAAGGTTGTCATACATTGTTAACACAAACTGCCCCATCTGGAGTGTAAACTCTGCCTGCTGATTCTGTTTTTTTGGCTATTAAACATGAGGCCTCTTCTTCATTCACCTCTTTCTCTCTCACTCTTTCTCATGAATGGTATATATGAGTGAGAGAAGGTAGCTGAAATTTTTTTTAAAACATGTTTCTTTAGGATACAATCTCTGGAGATCCATGATTGCCTAAATCATGGATCTCCAGAGATTTTCTTTATTATCTGTGAATTGTCATGTCTCCTATAGAAAAACAGTGAAATGGTTCCTCATTCTTTTCTTCTGGGTTTGGAATTCAAAGTTTTCCTTCTTTTAGGTTGATTGCCACCCCAAGTTACAGAAACAGTCTACCCTGCTATTAATGCCTATCTGATGGAAAGAAATGGAAGTC